TTTAACTGATAAACACTTCCCCACCAATAGTAAGCTTAGTAATATATTCAATAAGAACACCCTAAAATTGAGTTACAGCTGCTCTGAAAATCTTGAACGTATAATAAAAAAACACAATAATAAGATCTTGAACAAACCCCCATGCCTGAATAGTATTAATAAAAACCCTGCACTTAAATCAGACAATAAAAGGGAAAAATTGTGTAATTGTAGAAACCTAGAAGACTGCCCATTAGAAAATAAATGCTGCATTAAATCTGTGGTTTACCAATGTACTATATCATCCACTGAGAGCCCTAGGACTAATAAGATATACATTGGGTCCACGAAGAATGATTTTAAAGATAGATGGAGGCAGCATAAGTGCTCTCTCAATAATATAAATTAAACACATCAGACTTCCCTATCTAAATATTTTTGGCATCTGAAGGAAACAAATAGGACACCTGAAGTAAAATGGAAAATTATAAACAGGGCTAGAACATGTAAAACTTGGGATGACCCATGCCCTTTGTGCCTCCATGAGAAATTGCACATTATTAAGTTTCTAAATAATAATAATCTATTAAACAATAGACATGAGTTAACGGTTTTTCGTCGACATCATCAGATTCATGGTTTGAATAATTAGCTAAAAAGAAGAATACAATATAATAACTTTCATAATCCATAGCCCAAATAAATAGTTTAAATACCCTACAAAAAAAGATAACCCTTTATAAAGTCGTCAAAAAAAACACGTTACGGCAGTTTTTTTATATGCACAAATCCCTTTCATAAAAAAATAAAATAAAAAAATAAATAAATCTCCATAGACAAGCATACCAGACTAGGGTTAATACATCTTCCGTTTCAAATTTAGACACCCCCACCTTTCCCTGAGTTGACATCTATGAAAGTAACTCTATACTGATACTTATTACTAACACCCAACACCCGCCTACCCAATTTAAACAATTAGCCCTAGTTGTTCCCATGGAGATTTTGATTTCAATTATTAAAACACGTAAATTTCAGAAATACGTTATTCTAAAAAAAATTTCGCTTGAAGATGGAACAGAACTTACTTTAACTTAATTTAATTCAAATAATTATATTGAAGTTTTTCAGCTCTTGTTTTGAAACATGAGACCTCTTATGTCATAATTGGAATCATATTTTTAAATAAATAAATATATATATATATATATATATATATATATATATATATATATATATATATATAAAATTTAAGTCTTTAATCTTCTTCGTAAATCAATAGAAATTACTGTCTCTTAATTTTAACCATTAATCTTGCTTACAAGTCATTAACACTGCATTTATTGCCATTTAAAGAATGAATACATATTTTCCAACATCCTGTATAATAAAGTGTTATTGTGAAGAAACGTTTCTGATAGCAACACTTCTTTTTCGGCGTAATCTCTTTCTTTTTCAGTGCATCTGATTCACTGGTCTGTATTGATAATATAGATCAAACATTATACAGTGAAAATTTCAGATCTAAATTTATGGAAGTACAAGATGCAGCAGAAATACCTTCGGCGTATACCTTCCAGAAATACGTACCACATAATGGTAAGAGATTAGCTCGAGGAAGACACCATTGCCATTGATGTGGGAGGTATATGTGGGAGGTACTTCTGCCGCATCCTGTACTTGTCTTGCTCATCTATTGCCTTACATCAAGAAGTCTCTTCACATGTTTGTTGAAAGTGTTTCTTGTATCCTTTTCAGTAGACCGAGTCACTTTTTGAAGTTTGTTGCAATTGACGTGTCTTTCTTTGTCGTGTGTTGCCGTTATCACACCCACAGTGCGCATGTCCCACTGACTCTTTAAAACGGAAGACAAACAAGCCAGAAAGAAAAGAAAAAAAAAACATTCGTGATTTCCAAAACGAAAACGAATCGCTACGTTTCTCTTTCAACATTTCTCAATAGACGCGCTCGGATGGTAGGGGTGGCTTGAATGGCGGGCGATGAATAAGGATCTTTTCATTTTTTGGGTTCGTTTTTCGTCGAGCACAATTTTTATTTAAGTGGAACAGACAGCTTTGGATCGATTGGCGGTGGCTTCGTACACGAGCACCCCAATTTCAGTGCATACCTACGGACACACGCCCTTAGTTTTTGACGTGTCTCTGAAGACTCGTGTAGATACAGGAAGATAAAAAAAGGAGGGAGTAAAATAATATAGAGAGGAAGAAAAAGAATATTTATAAATTTTTAAGGCTTTTTGGATTACTTAAAACCGAACAAATTCAGAATAATTTTATTCTGTGTGGGTGAATATTGTATTAACAATGTTTGCAGTGCGTTTTTTTTCAGATACAGGTCCTACTATTAACCCAGAGCTATAGTGAGGAGATATATTCAAAATTTTCCCAAGAATATTTGTGCGTAAGTGAATGTAACCAGACTGGATTACGAACTCGGCTCTCTGCTGTCTCATTCTGAACCGCTATCCACGACATCGCCTGAATATCCTTTATATTTCAAACGTCATTATCGTTTACACTTCGTATTTGAAATAGACATCCTATCACCTATTATTAGACATTAGAATACGTCTATTGGTCTGCGCATTTGTAATATACGCATTTTAATAAATAAGAATTGGGCTTCTATTTCAAATACGAAGTACCAAATATAATAGATCTTGTACTAATAAAATGTTCTCTCTCTCTCTCTCTATATATATATATATATCTATATCTATCTATCTATCTATCTATCTATCTATCTATCTATATATATATATATATATATATATATATATATATATATATGTATGTACGTATGAATTAATATGTGACCCTTTACCTGATGACGGTCGCTAGACCAGAAACACGTGTAGTAAAATTACGAAAAATAAAGCATAATATTAAAAAAATATCCACATTACAACCAAAAACGTTTGCTGTATCTCTCTTCCTTTTAATATACACATTTTCTCTCGTTGGAACTACTATAATCTCTTCCTTTTATATATATATATATATATATATATGTATAGATAGATAGATAGATAGATAGATAGATAGATATTGCATGGAGTATATATTAAATTACACCGACTATCTTTTTGCCGACTGAAAGAGAAATTTATTCGTACTCTTCCTTTACTGGAGGTGGGGGTGGAGTGAAATCTATTATTATTTTCCTATTTATGCTGGGTTTTGACATTTTTCCCTTCTATTATTTTCTTATCCTATTTAACATTAAATTGTATTTTAGTCGTAGTTGTTCGTTTCATCCACGTTTGTCTATCATTCCGCCATTCTTTTTAACATTTTACTAGTCACCATCGATTCTTTCGATAATGTGTTGGTAAAAAAAACTATTTAAAACTTCTGTGGTATCATATATATATATATATATATGTCTATATTTCTGAGATGAGTTATGTACAATTTAGATTATTCGGACTATTGTCCTTACCTTTTTCGCCATATTTATTACAACGTTTCGGTCTTGTACTCTCAGGCCTTCTTCAGGTGGTTTGAATGTCTAACTAAACCCTTTATTTCGTTCACTGGGGTAGACTGTTCTAGTTCCACGTTTAATTGATGTCAGTTATCAGTTATCTCCTGTTAATTTTCCCTCTGAAAGTTCACCACTGCTTTAACCGGGTATTGAACTCACACTTTTTGGGTACTGTCACTGATCTAACCTCAAGAATAGTATATATATATATATATATATATATATATATATATATATATATATATATATATATTAAAGACATTTTATATTTAACATTCTTTTTATAGATACAAGTATTTAAGTAAATGCTCTGTTTATAATAAACAGTATTAAATAACATTTACCGGCCTGAATGTCCGAGAAATTTTCATAGAAAATATTCGTCCTTTGACAGGATTCGAACCTGCATCCTATACGCTGACGTGCCTTACCGTCTCGGCCACAAAGGAGCGTTCGGTAGGCAAGGTCGAAGTTTATAAGCAGTAAATTCGACCTTGCCTACCGAACGAAAATTTCTCGGACATTCAGGCCGGTAAATGTTATTTAATACTGTTTATTATAAACAGAGCATTTACTTAAATACTTGTATCTATAAAAAGGACGTTAAACATAAAAATGCTTTTAATAAATTGTCGGACTTTGTCCATTTCTTAAAATATATATATATATATATATATATATATATATATATATATATATATAGAGAGAGAGAGAGAGAGAGAGATGGGTAAATTGTCGCCATTTTATATTTTTAATTTCGCGCATGCGCGTTGTTTGTTTTCATTTTGTCGATTGCATACTGTAATAGGGTTAGTTGGCCACCGTCTGTGCAAAAAAGATCACTGTAACGCAGTTCACCTCGAGAGAAATTTGGAAAGTAATTCTGTACTGCTTGACATTCGCGCCGAAAGCTTCAATAAGAACATTTCAGAGTGTTTGGTGTCAATCTGCAGGGGATTCAAAAAAAGTTGGATGATATATCTAGTCAACATCATGGTGACGTTATGCCTCTATTCATCTTCCCACAGGACCTCAGACACGGAGGCCTGCATCAAGTGCATTGAGCAGGTAATGCTGCCCTGGGTCAAGAGGGTGACTGCTGGAAGACTCTATATCTCGCAACGGGACTCTACACCATACCACACAAACTAGAGAACCAACTCATAGCTATCAGACAAATTCTGCGAGAACATCAACCCTTACATCTGGTCATCTAACTCCTCAGATTGCAATCTCCTTGTATGGGGCGTAGTTGAGCGAGAGACCAACAAAACCCCTTGTAACAGCAAAGATGAACTGAAAGCAAGCATGCATCGACTGAAACAAGGAGACTGTTCAGAAGAGTTGCAGGAGATTCCGAGGTCATATGGAGGCCAAGGTTGAAGCCAATGGCGATTTTATTAAATTAAAAATGTATTTTTGTTTAATTTACACGACAATTTAACCATCGCACCCTATATATATATATATATATATATATATATATATATATATATATATATATATATATATGATCAGGAAACTGCAGCCACAGTGTCTGTGCTTAAATATGTATTCAACACTATTTTTAAATATTCTTTAAACTCTGAAAAGCATCGAGCAATTTTACTGAACATTTCATGAAAAAGGCTGTTACTGACTATAACAGTGTTTAAATCAATGTCGGTGTGTGTGTATGTGTGACCGAAAGAGAAAGAAAAAGCAAGAATGAAAAGCGAAACAGAGAGAATACACAAGAAAAAATGAGAAAGAAGAGAGAGAGAGGATGAGAGAGGGAGAGAGAGAGCAGTTATGAGATCAATAAGACGCGAGAGAGAAAACATATAGGAGAGAAAACATGCAAGCGGGAGAGATTGACAGCGAGAGATAGATAGGTAGAGAGAGAGAGAGAGAGAGAGAATGTCGCTGCACACACAACATAGATAAACAGTCGAAGATACTTTCAAGAAAATCTCCAGAGAAATAAAGAATAAGCGAGAGAGAGAGAGAGAGAGAGAGAGAGAGAGAGAAATTGGAGAGAGCAATAGAGAAAAGAGAGAGAGAGAAACTGGAGAAAGAGAGAGAGAAATTGGAGAGACCATGAGAGACATTGGAGAGAACAAGAGAGAGAGAGAGTAAGGAAGGGGGTGAGAAATTGAAGAGAGCATGAGAGAGGGAGAAATTGGAGAGAGTAAGAAAGAAAGAGGGAGAAATTGAAGAGACCAAGAGAAAAAACAGAGAGAAATTGGGGAGAGTAAGAGAGAGAGAGATTAGAGAAAGCAAGAGAAAAAAACATACACACACAGAGTGAGGGAGATAGAGTAAAATTGGAGAGAGCAAGAGAGAATGAGAGAGATAGGCAGAGAGTACGGCGAGAAAACGAGAGAAAGAATAGGGAGAAATCGGTGCATAAAAGTGGGCAGAGAGAGAAGGAGAGAGAGAAGGAGAGAGAGAGTAGGAGAGAGAGAGAGAGAGTAGGAGAGAGCAAATGAATGAAAGAATGTTAAGAATGAAAGAATTTTCATGAATTTTAAGAATGAAATAATATTAAGAAGAATGAACGAAGATATGCATAGATGAGCGTGTGCATATTTGAGACAGCAAGAAGCAGAGAGAGAGAGAGGGATGGAGAGAGAGAGAGGGAGGGAGAGAGAGAGAGGGAGGGAGAGAGATATATATATAGAGAGAGAGAGAGAGGGAGGAGGGTGGTAAGGAGAAAGATTCTTTCCTAGAATCCAAACAAGCAAAAAATGATCAAGGATGTATTTTCAACAACGGTTAAATTTAATCACCCAATTCATTTTGTGAAAGGATGTCATCAAAATCGATCTTTAAAAAAATGAAGAAATCTTATTTCATCTACATTTATCTTGTGCTGTCCTACCCCTAAGAATATGTTAGACTCTTCTGCCTACTATAAGTTTAGTAGGAGAGAAGGTTCGGGGGTACCATGTACAGTGATTAGTGAATATATGGAGCGCTAGTTCATTCAATACACACTCACTAATCGTGTAATACTCTTCTGGTGTATTTACTGTTTAATATACGATAATATCTGCAAACCTGGTTTTTGTTATTACTTAACGTTTTACTTGGTCACAACAATTTCTAAAAACTATGACTTTTCTACATTCTTCTTATGTGCCGTTTTCTTTCAAGACGATGACTCTCCACAACTTCCTATCTTTTGTAGGTCAAAGTAACCTCTCAATAACTTTTCCAGTCCCTATTCTGACATCAGTTCACACAAGTTCGTTAGGTACATCCTTGTGCAAATTAATTGAAACAACCGCTTTAGTTTCCTTTCTTTTACCATACGGTCAGTTTTAGACCCACTGGGGTGACAGGGTGTAATCGATTTCTATTTTGTCCTCAGATCAGGTCATTTCCGTAGTGTGCAATAATATGAATCTATTTTCGGGGTGTGTAATGAAATTTGATCGGCCATGAAACATATTGCATCATCCGTGATTGCATCAGATTTTTATCACGCCCAGACTGTCGATTAGTTGTCCTACGGCCATTGTCGGTGATGGATGTTACTCCAAGAAAGCGTACGAAAATTTGTAACGCTGCACAAAGTCAGTGGCAAGCCTTGAGCAAATCAAAGTACTAGACTGGACCGGAAACTCTCCTGACTTAAATCTAATCGAGAATCTCTGGTCAATCTGCAAGGAACGACTTTGTGGAATGGACACACGAAGTACTAACATGTGCATTGGGTCATCTTTCATTGGAAAAATACGAGAAAAAAGTAAATAATAACAGAATTATTCGTTTTGTTTCAATTAATTTGCACAAGGGCGTAGGTTTACTCGTTGCCTGCTTCTACCCGTCTTAACTTTAATGTTCTGTGAGTATCAAATTCGCCAAGCCCTCTTTTCTTATGTATCCCAGATTTCTCAAGTGTCTCTTTCTAAGTAAAGGTGTCTTTTACAGTTCCTATTTCCCTTAAAACTTCCTTGTTATTCGCATATAACGTCCATGGTATTCTCTGTATTTTTTTTATATGGAAACACATTTCTGTTGTTACATGTTTTCTGTTCATATGGGAGAAAATTGTCCAGCATCCACTGTCATATAAGAGGACTGGCATTACGTATATTACATGTTTTGATTGATATATAGCATTTTCATCTCAGTACTTACTCTGTATTCAAGGTGAGGAAGAATTGTCCTCTGTATATTATTAATATTATTAGTATGCATATATCGCTATCAATATTATGCATGTGATACATATTATCAATATTATGCAACTGCAGCTTTTTTTTTCAGGTATTGGGATAGCAGATTCTCCCTCTATCTGGAGCTGCTGGTAGAAATCAAGACGGAAATTAAATAGCTGTCCTCACTGACCCCAAAAGGTTTATGAATCTGAAAGGGTGACGAATGCTGTGAGATGCCGGAAGTGCTCCGCAGATCTATCATAGTAGTGATGTCAAGAAGTCAGGTGCAAATGAAAGCGAGCCCCATCGAACAATCAGTTTAATGAGACAGATAATTAAACTTCGGATTCTAACGAACAGAGCTCGTAGCAGAATTAGCCTGAAAATAGAAGAGGATCATTGTGGCTTTATTCAAGACACCAGAACAAGATTAGCCATCTTTATTATCGGAATGGTATCGGATTGAGAAATACACATGCAGAAAAACCTACGCCTTTCATGGATTACACAAATCTATAATGAACAAAAAGAGATACTTGAAAAAGCATAATTTACAGGGTTTTTTTTTAATCATTTCACCCCAAGCAAGGTGATAACGTCACTAAGACGTAAGGGGCTACTGGGAGTGAAAGAGAAAGAAAAGATTTTTAAAGGAACCGGAAACTCAATCCTAAACAGAGAACAAAGGATAAACCTATACACCTGAATAATTTTCAAGTACTCCGTAATCTCAACGAGAGCAAATTGTCTGCATGTGGCTAGATAACGAGTTTAATGCATAGACAAAATTAGAAATAGAAGGATGTCTTTTCTCGCCGGGTCTATCTTATACAGCGAGACGATCATAAGACAGCTGGAGGCGCTCCTGTCATTTATTGTCGAGAGACATCATCCTCTTACCATAAAATAGATGACATACTCAGAAAAGAAATTGATAATTTCTTAATGGAAAGCAAGATATTATTAACTGTAGGAACACAGAATACATGGTTGTTAGCAAAAGAGACAGATCAAGATGTGAGCTATATATCGGTGATGTTAACATTGAGCGAAAACAGAAACTTAACTCTAACATCGTGTAGTAACAGATGATGTTTAATGTCACACTAGAAGACGAACAATTAAGACATAATAATTTCATTAGAAAGAAAGGAACACTTGTTGGACTATCATATAATTTCTAATCTCCATGATGCGGTAAATGCAGGAAAATTTCATCAGAAGATGAAGAAGAAAATTTCAAGCGACAGGGATATTGACGGGCAAGAAGAGCATCATGGACAGAACATGTGAGCAATGAGGAAGTCTTAAGGAGAATAGGGACTGCAACTGATACTTACAATCACAAAATGCGAGAGTTTTGAGACACACATAATGAGGAAAGAGGATCTAGAGAACTTAATGCTTACAGGACATGATGAAGACACGTGAAGCAGGCAGAACGAGTTTGCATGGATAGACAGTAGAACAAGAATAAAGAGGCATTGCGAAGAGTAAAATGTTACAGCAACAAATGGTGAGAAGTTTTAGAGAGCTATAATTGCCCAAATCCTGAAAGAACTTTTCCATATGGTCATCGATTCTTGAGCTTTATCTTCTTATAAGGTCTTCTTATAAGGTCTTCTTATAAGGTCTTCTTATATGTATCAAGTTCTTTCGTGGGCAATTATGGCTGTCGCTATTTCTATCTGCTTCACGTGCCTTCATCATGACCCGTGAATATTAAGTTAATCAGGTGAAGTTGTACAATAGAAACTACGACCAAAAGTAATAAATATTTGCAATATTTTTATGTGCAATGGATATCGGCTCGGAGGGAGAACTCTGAGTGCCGAGTTCGAATTCTAACCGAGTTTGTTAGATTCACTTACACACAAATGAGAAAGGTATGAATCCATTTCTTCTCCTCCGGCTGCGGGTTGAATAAAAGGACAGACTGGTTTCTTTAGTCTTGGTTGGCAAACAGTCTACCACAAAAAGAAATGGCAACCTACTTCGGGAAAATCTTCTGCCTAACGAAAGATACATGATCGACAAAGCGCGTATCACGTATGACACTTAGCTGTCTGATAGACTGAAAACTTCAGATCATGAACATCAAAAAGAAACAGAAAAAAATTATTAAATTTTATAAAAGTTAGTAGGCGGGCATTTTTTAATGTAAATTAATTACAAATTGATCTCTCGATAGAAGCCAAAACTCATATCACGTGATTTCTTAAATCGCAAATTAAGTTTAAAAAATTTGAAATTCGTAACATGCAGTAATTTTCTTCATATATTACTAAGACGTCAACATTCCATATTACGAATTCCTCCCCACAAAAAAAATATTTTTTAAAAAATCTTATGAAATCACATCTTAGGAGCATATTTGTTTTGTCATCACTAGGACGATCAATTTACAATGGATTTTCATCACAAACGGGGCCTCTTAATAACTTTGAAAAAATTTAATTTACAAAAAAATTGATATTCATGATCTGCAGTGCTTAATCTTTTGTAATATGAAGAATAAATTCGAACAAATGATTTTTCTTGTCGCATTGCCTATTGTACAACGCCACAGTAGAAACATGGAGGAGAATTTAATCACCGTCACCCCCCCCACAAAAAAAAATCAGATCCAGGGCAATCAAAAGATACCACATGTAAAACATTACATATGCTTTTATGAAATCGCTATTTAATAATGAAATGCCTATCAGTGAATGTATTTCCTCTGGCAATAGAGATAATTAACCTCATCGCTTTTTACAACGAACTACTCCCATCATTCAATGAAGATTCTTTGCCCATGGACCCTGTAAATCTATTATTTTTAAAGTTTTCACTGAGATTAATTATTTATTATTGCACCCCATACATACATATATATATATATATATATATATATATATATATATATATATATATATATATATATATATATATAATTAAATAATTTAGACGTATTATGATTATGTCTATTTATTTTAGTTTTTAGCAATTTTCTACAA